GGCTTGAGCACGGGTGCATGTGTGTGTGTGGGGGGGGGGGATGGGCGAGTTTGGGATGAGTAGCTTTGTGTCGATGGGCCCCGTCGACACCCCTCATCCGCCGCAACCCCTGAGCCCCCTCTTTGCCCCCCAACACCCTCACAGGGTGGCTACGAGAACCGCACCATCTTCCAGTCCCTGGACCTGGCGTGGAGCCTGCTGCGCATCTTCCCGCGCGAGCTGCTGCGCCGCATCACCATCAAGACGCTCGACGAGTTCTACGAGCGCAAGGCGGAGTGATCGCGGCCGCTGGCGGCGGGGCGGCGGGGCTGCCGGGCGGCGAGCGCGCGCAGGCGGCGAGGTGTATGAGCGGGCCCGGCAGGGCGGGCGACGGGCACCGCGGCAGTGCGGCTTGCCGGCCTGGTGCAGCGTGGATCGGCGCCGCCTGTCCCGTCCCTGACATTTGCAGGTTTGCTCAGGGATTGTTTCTGTTTCGCGGCCGCTCTGGGCTGGGCCTTCGTGGCGGCGCTTCTGTCTCTCCGGCACTGCTTGCCACCCCCAAACGCTGGCATTGGGGGGTTACCAGTTGCAGTGTCTTGGAAGCGGGCCTGCACCCGCACCCGACAGGGCCCAGGCTGACAGGGCTGGGGTGGCGAGGTGCGCCGCAGGCGCGGGCGCACGCAGCGCCATGGCGCGACTCCCGTGTGCCGGGCTCCTCGGCGCCGCGCCGCCGGCCGTGCCCCGCTGGCGGTGCCGCCGCATGCTCTGTTTTTGCTCTCTTCTTTGATTGTGTTTGATTGTGGGCAACTCTGCTTGTGAAACCTCGAAACTTTGCAGCGGTCAGGGCCTCTTTTGAGGGAGCGCCCTTGTCAAGGAGAGTGGGAGGCGCCACCCAGGGCTGTGCAGGGCAGCAAGCAGCAAGGGTGTATGGCAGTGCTTCCACTAAACACTTAAAATCGCACCAAGCAAGCCAGCAGCCACGGGGAAAAGCCATGAGGGGTAACGTCCACAACCTCAAAGGTCAGAGGAGCCAGCGGGTGCGGCCTGAGCTGAGAGATAGTCAGATGTCTGCGAAACGATGGGCCATGGGTTGGAGAGCGGCGGGCTGCACAAGCGCCCGAACCAAGACGAGCAAGCTGCAGCGGGGCGAGCCGAGCGCCGCTCGCTGCTGGTCGCGCATGTTGAAGGGGCCTCCGCGTGTTGGCCTGCACAGACGCAATCGGTGTGCCCACACCATGAACCCTGCTGCCAGCGCATTTTTGCGGCGAGTGCGACCAGAATTACACAGAACGCGGCCTCTGCAGGACGCAACCATGCTCGGCATGCGGTCAATGCTCCGGCTGTGTCAGGGGCGCGCGCCCTGTCTCAAGCCCTCCACCCGCAGATGTAGATCCCGCCAGGACCCCAGCGCCCGCTGCTGCTCAGCCGCAACCCCCTGGTTCCACCCCTCAACCGCCACCTCCAGCCAGCCGGCCCCATCCCCAGCATCCTCCTCCCCCGCTCCCCCTGCCGCTGCCGCCGCCGCCGCCGCCGGAGCAGCAGTGTCGCCGCCGCCGCCGACGCCGGCTGCTGCAGCGACGGCCGCCAACCTGTCGAGGCAGGGCTGTTCGGCCACCACGAGGATGCGCTCCAGCTCGCGGCCCTCGTCGCGCTTCCCGAGGCCGTAATCCAGCTCGGTGCGCCTGTAGAAGGGTCGATGGCGATGCGGACAAGGTGACAGGCGTGCCGCCTCACAATCCGAAGCAGTGCGAAGGGGGGGACGAGTCTGGCATGGCTTCGGGGGGCCGAGCGGCTCCCAAAAAGCGCGGCACCTGGGGTGATGCGATAGCTGTGCAGTGGCTGTCGCGTGGTGCTCGGCGCATGTGCTGATGGCGGCAGCGGCAGAGGCAGGCTGCAGCAGCAGCAGCAGCAGCAGCAGCAGCAGCAGCAGCAGCAGCAGCAGCAGCAGCAGCAGCAGCAGCAGCGGCAGCACCACCCGCAGCAGTGACGAGGATTCAAACACCGCCACAGCCCGCCCACCAGCTCTGGGTCAGCAGCTCTGACCAAAACGCATCAGCGTGTGCCTCCACCTCGCCCGCTGCCAGCCCGGGGTCCTCCAAGGCCGCTAGCGGCGCCCGCGTGCGCACTTTCAAGAACAGGGGCGGGCCTGGTGTGCGTGCATGTGTGCGTGTGTGTTGCTTAGGAAAATGGGGAGTTTGGGCGGGAGGGCGTGACGGTCGCCGAATGCATGCGTAGGGCCCCCTGGGCGACAGCGGCTTGTGGGCAGACGCGTTGCGGCGGAACGCCATGAAAAAACATTGGAGGAACGCGTGCAGCCCTTGATTTCTAGGAACCACCGCGTTTCTCTCTGCTCCCACACCTGCCCGCCCGAGCTCCGCCCACAGCCGCTCCGCCGCCTCGCGCGCCGCCGCGCTGGCGAATGCCGCGGCAAACGGCGGGTCGCCCATGGCGGCGGCCGCGGCGCCGGAGCTGGCGCACTGCTGCGGCGTGAGGAGGGAGACCCGCTTGGGCTCAAGTATCTCTGTGATCGCGTCGTACTCTAGCTCGTCCTCCCACCAGTTTTCTGATGGCATGGAGGAGAGGGGGGTGTCATGGGGGTGCGTGGG